CTGCAGACTCAGATGGCCAGCAAGGGTCATGTCTCTGTAAGAACCAAATCCACACCTCTGCCACCTGCTGCTGCAGCCCATCAACCACAAATTTATGGGCGAGCTTCACAGACTGTGGCCATGCAAGGGCCTGCACGGACCTTAACAATGCAGCGTGGCATGAACATGAGTGTAAATTTGATGCCAGCCCCTGCTTATAATGTCAATTCAGTGAACATGAATATGAATACCCTTAATGCTATGAATGGTTACAGTATGTCCCAGCCAATGATGAATAGTGGGTATCACAGTAATCATGGGTATATGAATCAAACCCCTCAGTACCCTATGCAGATGCAGATGGGAATGATGGGAACTCAGCCATATGCACAGCAGCCAATGCAGACAGCACCCCACAGTAACATGATGTACACTCCTCCGGGCCACCACGGCTACATGAACACGGGCATGTCCAAACAGTCTCTCAATGGATCCTACATGAGAAGGTAGGCCTGTAGGAGAGACACACTACCAAACTGGTGTATGGGATTGATCTGCACAAATACCTTTGGAGAGTACGATTTCAAAACCAGCAATTGGTGTGAATGCAAAAACATTTGTTGGCACCATTTAAAAGCTGTATGCAGCAGAAAGCCTTATACAAGTTTTTCTTTATTTCACGCTTTGTTGTTTTTTTCTTTTTTTTCCCCTTTGGTTTGGTTTTGTTCTGTTTTGGGGTTTTTTGTTTATTTTTTTAACATTGTGAGATTTAACTTCTCTTTGGGGGGAATTAGGTGGTTTTCCATTTTTTGTTTATTTCATTGAGCTTGAAGTTCTCTGGAAAGGAAGAACTCTTTCTATGAACTGCAATTTCACAGCAGCTGATGGTTCAGAGCCATTTTATGTGCCTGCTCCCATTAAAAATGTGGATAAATAGACTTCAAAACTATCAGACAGTACTGGTTCATGAGCTTTTTCTCTCTCCTTTCCCCACATGTAAATGCCTTTTAGCAGTTCTTTTATTGTATTATTTTGTTTCTGAAGGTGACACTTCTGCATGCCGCTAATGTCTTTGTTAGTGACAGTGCATTTTGTAGTACTGTACAAGTGTTGTGCTTAACAGTAAGCCATTTCTTAATTTTTTTGCCTTGATTAGGTTACCCTAGTTTGAGGGGTAAAAAAACCAGAACTATATTTTTGTTAATTATAAAACTTGTAAAAATAATAAAAAAAAGCTGCAAAAGCTATTCACATTTTGGTTAGTTCAAAGGGTTTTATTGCTGTATGTTTAGTGTAAAGTTGAGACTCTTTTCCATTTTTGTGACCAGTTTCTTTGGGGCTGGGTAGGAAAAAGGCAGCTTTCTGTTTTATAAAAACTTACTTTCTTTGTTGATTGAAACATCTCAGTGTTTATTTGTCAAGTTTTGAAACATTTTCGTATATGTCCAAATACTTGGCAGGATTTAAAAAAAAAAGTAGTGAATTTGGTGTAAAGTTGCTATTTTATGGAAATGCCTCTAACTTTACATTTTCATTCCATCTGTAGATTTTTCTATCTTTATAAAATATTGGAGTTATTTTTTAAGGGAAAAAATAGAGCAGTAGCGTGTGAATAGCTCAAACTAAGCTTACAGATCGCATGTAAAAAGGCAAAAGTTATTTGTGTCTGTTTATATTGCTTCCTTTTTTGTAGCCTTTGTACCTGTACAGAGTGACTGTAAGGGCCGAACAGAAGAGGCTTGATACATGTAAAAATAGGACCCAGTGACACTCTTGTATTTATCTGTTATCTTTTTAGTCAGTCACTTAAAAAAATACCCACAGAAGACCCACCCAAGCAACAAAAATAAAAATTGCAAAAAACTGCACCCCCCCCAAGCTGTACATTTTAACATAAAATAAATTATGATGAGCCATTTTTAGCCTCTTGTGTCTTGTCATAGTTTGATGTTGCATGGGAATTCCCTCCTGAAACAGTGTTTGTTATGGTGCTCTCACATGCTTGATCTAAAGCCCATTGCAGTTGGTGGGGTTTGGATTAGGCTGTTTAGAGCTTAAGTGTAGGTTACTCATCATAATTGCATACACCTTGTGAAAAAAAAGAATACCTAAGATTATTTTTTTTAATAATCTTAATAAAATATTGAATAAATATGTATTTAATACCTTACAAGGTTGTCAATATTTAATGTATGAAACTTCTTTCCTACAAAAGGTGTGTATATATAGATAAAAAAGGATATCATAGTAACAGAGGTGGTGTTTGAGCTGTATTTTAATGATAGAATTGTAATCTCTTCCTTTGTCATTGTTGCTGGGTGACAAGATGATGCAAATTCTTTGTTAAATCTATGGGTTCTGTGTGTATGCATGTATGTGGGCACACACAAACATACACAGAGATGAGCACTTCTCTTGTAGGAAGGTCTGTTAAACACAAGAAGGCTTTCTCTATGTGGATCTCGTGAGTGGACAAATTCAAATATGGGATGTGTGAACCTACACCAGAAAAAGTCCTTGTAATAATTTTTCAGAATACTTCTAATGTGGATGTGGGCACTGTCACTGCAGTAAGGTTACTAGCTAAGGTGAAAGGAATGGCCATTTTGACTGAAAATTGTCCCCATTCCAGTGTATAAAACAGCTTTAAAGGTAATATTTCATATATCTTAAAGTCAAAGAAATGTGTATTTCTTGAAATAAAACCATTACTGTGTGGTGGTGCCAAATCAAAAAAGTGATACTACAGATTTATGTGCGCAACCTATGGAGTTTTAATACAATGGAGCAGCAGTCTAAAATAGTGAATCTGAATGAGAGCTAAAATTGCTGGTCAAATGGGAATCTGGAGTAACTTGTGTTTTAGGAGTTCAGAACACCTGATAAGGAGAGCACCATACAACAAAGATCTTGGTTCATGCCCTTACATTGTCAAATTCATTGATTGAAGGCAGAGAGTATTCATAGTAGTTAAACTTTGTTTTCATCTTTACAAAGTAAGTCACCTTTTTTATGCTTAGGAAAAGGAAAGGGGAACTTGACACATTTATATGCAGCCTTCAGGTGTGTTCAGCTTTGTCTTGTGATTTTTCATTTGTGTGTTTCTACAGTGAGTGAAAAAGGCACCTGGGTCTTTATCTGCTGCTGTTCAGTTTCAAGGTTTGAAGCCTGTAACATACAAGCAAATCAAACCTTCTTAACATTTCAGATATTTGCTAACCTGAAGCAGCATCCTGACTCCAGCACATTGCTAAAATTCTCTATTTACGATATATGGGTTAAGAGTTGATTGGGAAATGATGCATAATGTGCATACAGCAGGCAAGTTTCCAATATAATCTTGTTATTTCAGAATTCCTTTCAGGAGGACAAGGGACTAGCCTACCTCTTTTCCCATAACAGCTGTTTAGCTATGAATTGCATTATGGTACTAAAATTTTTGATAAATAATATTATCTTTTCCTTGACAGATATACTTGTTCTCTGTCTTGTATGCACCTTGCAGTGTCAGTTTTGACTGTGTGCTCTAGCACTATCCTTGAGGGAAATGAGCTCTTGCTTTTACTGTCTTCAAAAAACTCTTCACAGAATTGCAATAGATGATTATTGTTGAAGCAGGAGGCTTCTTTGGCCATGCACTCTTACAGAATGCTCCATGCCACTGGTGGTTGGCAAGAAGGAAATCAACCTGCCTTGTTCAGTGTGTGTGTGTGTGTTTCCTGTGGACGTGGCTTGTGGCTGGAGTCGGTGCTGCTGACGCATGTGAATCAGCTCATTAGCAGCTTGCAAGAGTTGCCTCACTTTGTGGAAGCCACATGTTCCAGAACTTCTGCTTTTCCGATTTAGTCTCATTAATTCTGGGAGAACAGTAGGCTAAAAAAAGCTGGGAAGTAAATGAAAAATATGTTTTACTTCAGAACTGTTTAATTGGCGCAGTTGGGCCAGCAGAGTCTTTCAGGCAAGACCTGGTTCTAGGAAAGATACTTGTCTTTGGAGCAGGACACACTTCATCTGGAAGCTGCCAAATGCCAGTTCTCCTGGAAGCTGCACTCAGCCCCTTAGCAAAGACAGGAATGGTAAGTGTTGTTACACTCAGGCTGCCTGATCCCCCAGCAGTGGGCAAAATGCAACCAATTTTTTACTAACAGTGTAAGAATCTCTGATATAAGCAGAAATGAAGGACTGCTAAAGGTACTAATATTCCGTGTTAGATCACTGTCTATGTCTCTCAGTTTTATAAGCTGTTTAATTTGTCCATCTGGCAGCGTGGTTGATGGAAACAAACTCCGTTTATATCAGCATGGTAAATAGAAAGAATGGCCCTGGCAATTTTCTGTAGTGCTGAGGGTGATCAATTATGCATGTGAATCAATGACAAATCCTCTTTCAGTTACAGCAGTCATCGAGCTCTCATGCAGATTCAAGAAAGAAGACAACTGTAGCTTGACGAAGGGAAATCCTTACAGATATTTTTTATCTTTTAGTTTATCATTTGATACAGAATTCTTGTCTGTAAAGCAAATGCTTATGGTGTAGTTCCTCCTCATGTAGAAGCTCTCTAACTGCTGTGCTGCCCTGGATTATCACTGTGAAAAAAGAAATAAAAGTGCCAGGAAACATCACAAAAAGGCAAACTCCTGTGAAATCCTTCAGGACACTGGACTAAGCATTTTCCCTGCAAGATTTCTTCAGGAGTGCCTATCTGCACTCCTTTAAAGGCTGTGGGCTTGAGTTAGGATCGCAATTTTGGGGGTACTCAGCTAGAAGAGAGTTTTAAGTTGTGCTTGCTTTTGTGTTGTAAATGTTTGGGGTTTTCTGCAGAGAGAAAAACTTATTTGTTGATGTAACAAAGAATTCTGCTAACGCTGGAACTTTCTAGGATGATGAGTTTTAAATTTGGTTTCCTTTCTTTTTCATCTTGACATTGTATTTTAAATAACTTTGGGTTTTTTGTTTTTTAGCAAATAACAAATGATCCTTGTGGCTGTGTAATTAACTACACGTTCCCCTCCCCTTTTTTCATGGAGTTTCTTTTCCAGTAGCACAGCCGTGCCAGGACGGTGCTAGATGGTGGTGCTGTTCTGCTCAGCAGGTGCTAGGCTGTTCTTGCTGTTCCTCCTCTGCAGCGCCAGTGCTATGTCCAGTTCTCTCAGCTGTTTCAAGAAGCCCCGGTTTGGCAAGATGCAGCGATGCCTTGCCACCTGCTCAATGGCATCCACCACTGTCATGTTCTTGTAAATCATCAGGTAAGCCAAGACCAGCGTGGCGGAGCGGCTGCGGCCCATGGCACAGTGAACCAGCACCTTGCCTGTGGAAACAGAGGGACCTCATCAGAGGTGACACTGGGTAATCCTTTCCTCTCGACAGTGAAGGTTTCTGTAGTGCCCCTGCTCTGTTTGGTGTTTGACTGCCCTTACCAGCACTAAATAAGCCTCTCTTTTCATACAAGGGAAAACTCAGGCTGTAAATCTTACAACTGAACACCATCTACACTAGGGATGATCCATTTAATCCTACACCAAATATCATTTTATTTGTGAACCAAGCTTGCAGAGAAGGCCTGGGGGCAGCATCGAGTATCATAGCAAGCCCTGCTGCAGCCTTAACTTACATGCCTCACAAACAGTGTGCATGCAATTCTGTGTTTGGGAATAATGACCAAAGCACAAGGGTGTGGGAGGGTTTGGTGTGCTCTCAGACAGTCCTTCCATGAGAATAAATGGAATGCATGGGGGGTGCCTTTCTCACGTCTACTAACTAGACACAAAAAGTAACCAAATTTGATTTTGTTTTTTTTTGTTCTGGCAATAATGTGCTTTGAAATCTAGATTGCATCACTTTATGCCAGATTTTGAGGGCAGAGAATAAAAAAGGCCATAGGCATATAACCAGGGGGTGGAAAGAAACCACCTCTTACACTATAGAAAAGCTTCTGTAGAAATTTCTGACTAGCACCCTGTTGTGTTGAATGCAAGTAATGTTTCACCACCATCATCATCTGAGTGTTCTAATATGATCATCTCCTTGCAGTAGGAGCCTGTGTCATACCCTGTGAGTGCAGAGTCTTTGCCGAGAGTTTTCACCTCCCAATAAACATGCTACAGTTTAACTCTGTGACACTGCGTGGCTTAACTTGGGCCTTCCAGAGGCAATAAGTTATTGGCTTTGGATAGTAACAAGGTTGTAAGTCAAAGTGGGGCCTTCCGTGTTAGCAGTATCTGGGGGAGGTGGAGAAAGAGAACAGTAAGTGGGCTCAGGTCTGATTGACAGGTTTTGAATCACTTCAAAAGATTTCCAAAAATGATTCAAAGCCCTCAAGGGGGTCTCACAAAAGGTAGAACTGCTGAAGGAAGTAGATTTGGAGCACACTCTCTAACACCCTGCTAAGCAGAATTGCCACAGGAGAAAAAAATAAAAACTGTGCTATCAGGGCCAATAATAGTTTATCTCTGTCAGCTATGCCTGGTGAGAAGTGCTGGGTGCAAAGCCATGACTCCTGCCGATTAACTCCTTTGCTTCCAGGCACAAGAGGATGCCTTGGCACAAGTAGCATTGCTGTGTAATGGATGCATCAAGAACTGCCAACACTAAAGGATTAATGGTTACAGTCTGCATCCTAATCCTAGCAGATAGTCTTTGAGGCATCTTGGCAAAATTCCAGTCCTTCTGATAACTAAAAGTGCCTCTTCCTCTCCTAGAAAATGATAATCCATTCTATTATTACTGCAAATATTTGAAGTGGATGAAAAGATGCATTTGTTTAGCCCTTCAGTGCTTCTCTTTAGAGCTTCCCACCTTGTAAATCTGTTGCTGTTGAGGTGATAAAATACATGATGGGACAAGGAAAGCTTTGCTTTGTGTGGGTGGCAAATGGAGATGCAGGAGAAAATACAGTTTTGTATTATGGCAACAAAGGCAAAAAAAATGGTTGTACATTCTTCTGAAATGTCCACTGGTTTGCAGAAAAGGAAGTCTGTCCTTGGCTGTGTGTGAATGATCAAGAGCCAGCTGCCTGTTACAGCAGAGCACTGCCACTCTTCTGCAGAGCCACGTCCCTTCTGTAGTCTCTTCCATTCTAATACAAGGACCACTCTGAACCCTCATTCCCCAAATGGGAGTCTGCTCTTGCAGTCTTGGATTCTGACCACTTACATCTTCAAGGTGTGCCAGAATATGCAGTGTCAGTGCACAGACACAGAGATCTGCTGAGTGGTAACAGATGTCTGAAATACTTTGTTCACTTAACTTGGGTTTGTGTTTCCTGAAAATTTGTCTAGATGCAGCACTCCTTTTCCAGAGTCAGTTGAAGCTATGAATGTTGAGGTATCTTTGGTCAAAAGCCTCAGGTCTTTATAACTGTCTCATATGTTTCTTCCCACTTAGTTTTCTTTTAAAATCTCTTGTCTTTAGTGTATTTTCCCCTGACATTTTAATGTGAAGTTAAAATGCCATTCCTGTCTATTCTACATTCTGAGGAACTAAAATTTCAAGGGAATGAATATTATATCTGTAGTTTAGTAGGAAACCTAAAAAAAAATTTAAATAATGTCTTCCTTTCATGTTATACAGGCTTCACTGATAAAAAATTTAAGCTGTTCTATGGCCTGAATTGCATGTTTTTGGAAAGCTTTATGCCTAGCTGAATGACAGCATGCATAATTGTGACTCATTAGAGTTTGCCTCTAAATCTTACTCTTATAATTGTTCTTATGTCCATCAGCCCATGCTTAAACCCTACAAATACCTTTCAACCCTACAAATACTGTTCTGATCAGGGAATTTCTTCATCATCATGAAGATTTTAAATGTTAAGTCAGAATTAGGACTGTTTTGACAGCATCCAAATTGCCAAGCTTTCGAGTCTGTTTCAGAGAGGGCCTTCTTCATTAGACTGACAACTGGTTTCAACAGCATTGACTATTGAGCATCTTCCCAGCAAAAATCATTATCCAATGACATCTGTTCAATGAATTTGATAATTTGGCTGAAGGTCATACCTCTGATACAGCCAGAACATGATACAGCCAGAGTAAATTCATTAAGACATAGATTCTGGTCACACAAGCTGAAGCTTTTTCCTTTCTCTCCCTTTCCCTCTCTGCATTTCCTCAGTTCTAATATACAAAGCAGTAAAGCAATGCAAAGCTGTTACTGATCAGAAGTATTAAGCACCATACACTGAAGTCCCATGTCATTACCACTGGAGATAGGTGCTTGGTTGCTTCATACAAAATCCTGTTTAGGAATCTGGATGCCCTTTGTCAGTCAGGAAGGTGTACACAATATAGCCTGTTCATTTGGCACTTGAAATGCAGAGCACCTTTCTGCACTAGATGTGCATTCATAAATAATAAATTTATGTTGTTGGAAGAGAGCACTAGCTACCTCTAGTCTTTTCTTCCATAGGAGGCATCAGTCCACACTTTAGTCTAGCTTCTGGAGTCATTCTATTCTGTAAATGTGTATTGGAAAGTTATTGTCATGCTTTAAACCTCAGTGTCTTCCTGGGCCATGCATAGTGTCTTTATATGTGTCTCTGGCTGGGATAAGAGGTGTACATGCATACATTTTATTTTTCCCTCATGAGAAAGTTAAGACATTGCTCTTTTTCTTCATGAGTATTGCAGTAGTTCTTCATTTTATTGGTCTTCATCAGAAAAGATCCTAGCTAACTTGTTTAAAAGCCATTTGAATGTGGCAGAAATTACTACAGCTACAGAAATCACTGCAATTTGTAGTATCTCCTTGGGTGCAGATTTTTTTGTTTGGTTTTGTCACTCTTCAGTTTGGTTTTGCTGGGCTGGTGCTTGCTACTGTCTCAGGATTTCCTGGACTTTGTGGTTTTGAAACAAAAAGATTAATATCCCCCCCATCTCATCCTTTCCTCCTGCAATATTTATTGGGAAGCAAGGCTTTTTTCCTTGCCCTTGCTTCTTCCCTTGTGCTCATTTCTTTACCTCAGTACAGCAGACTAAAGTCTTACGGGAACAGGAGGGTGGTGGGAATGAAGAAGTCTGCATTTCTTATTCCAGCTACTCCAGTCTGACACTGACCTCTGGCCTCCAGCCATGGCTAGACACGGGTGTGTGCTAGTTATCCTCTCCTTTCCAAAGGCAGTGCTTCAGACACACTTTTTTAAAATGCTGGGTATCTTTCTTCATAAGCAAGTAAGCTCCTGAAGCAGTTTCTTCTGCTATTAGAACCTTGATTTTTAACACTGATCTGCTTTCAAGGTGTTCTCCTGAGCAAGGGAAGGAACTGTTGTGTGGACTGTACTTGTTGAAAGGGTAAAATTGTAAAGACCTGGCTGGCTATTGGAAGCAAGTCAGGTAGTAAGTGCCTGCAGCTGAGCTAGACAGCCAAGAACAGAAGCTGACACAAGGCTAGAAAACTTGATATCTGACCCTCTGATATTAAGGTCTCTATAGGTCAGCAGGAAAGTTTTAAGTTTCTCAGCTGGTTTCTGGTAAAATATCCTGCTGAGATTTTTTTTTAAGTATGTGGGGGGAAGGAGTAGGAGTAATATTGAAAGTCAGTGTGAGGCCTAGGATGTAGCACTTCACATCAGTGTAAAGCTTACTGATAGAACACTGCTGGAGATCAGCAAATAATGAATTGTAGTAATCAAGCTGAGAAATTACAAACACTTTAATGAAATGTTTCTAGTTTTCTGCTGTCAGAGCTGTATCAGTTCCCTGCTGTTTGGAAGATGGCAGAGAAATAAATGTTACAGGTTGGGGTAGATCTGATGGTCAGGTAGGGGGGGTGTTTTCTATATTTATAGAGATAATCTAATGGTGCAGAGCATGAAGCTGTGGAATGATGGCATGCAATGTCTGAGACCACTTGTGTTCTACTCCCACCACTATGCAACAAATACTCATTAAACCTGTTTTGATAGGGACTAATTAGGAAAAGACAGCATATTCATGACACCTAGGTAATTTCCAGTTGTCTCACATGTGTTTTTGAAGGAGTCAAAACAACAACAGAAAACCTCTGTCAGATTGGACCCCTTGATGCAAGCTGTGATGAGAACTTTTGACAAAAGTGCTTGGTAAGAGGCTTTTGGGGTGGTATTAGTGGGAAGGGTCCTAAATACATTACTGCCTTCTCTTACACTGGTTCCCTACTACTAGTTTTATTGTTTCTATTAAACTGTATTGGACTTGTTTCATTCCTGCAAGGTTAAATGCCATGGAACTATGCTTTTAATTAGTTGTGGTAAATATTATACCGGTTTGAACCATTTTCAGCACCCTCCTTACTTCTTTCATCCTGAAGTGCATTATGAATGAATTTGGAAGCTGAATAAAAGAACTGGCTGAGGTTGAAAGTGGGGAGATCATCAGCTTCCACGCCATGGTACTCCACAGTCATGCTGCTGTAATATTCTGGTCCCGTGTCCACGTTGCGCTGCCCGTGGGCCGCGTTGAGGATGTGGGTGAATCCCGCCTTCTCCAGGCTGTAGCGATCCAGCGCGGTTTTTCTGGTAAAACAAGAGCTGTCATGTAACTCAAGAAGCTTCTTCAAGACCAGAAAAAAAATTTAAGAAAACCTCTGATTTGGTATGTTCTAAATGCTAGTGAAACTGATAATGCTTTAACAATGCATAATTTACCATTTTAAGGATCTTAAGATATTGTCATTCTGTTTGAAGCTGTCATTCTTTTTGGAGTTCCTAATTATATCCCCCAGGTCCTTAGAGCATGTTTAATATGGATTTATTTTCCCATTACCTTTGCACATAGGCAATACTGGCTTCAATCCATCTTGTACAAGAAGAAACTTAAGATACAGAAAGAAATAGAAGGAATTATCTAAAGTCAGAAAAGTAAATCAGTGGCAGAACTTGAAATAGGACCAAGGAATGCTGAATGCTGTTTTCCCCTTCTGTTGCATCAAATGATATTGCAGATGTAATAAGAGTCAGTAATATGTGAGTAGTAAAATCGTCTGGGATTCAAAAAGAAGCTTTTCTTCCCCAAAAGGAGTTACTGAGTTTTTCTCCATTTCTGTAAAAAATAAATAAATTTTTTAAATCCCATCCTTATGTGACTTTAACTTCCTATCACAACTCCATTTTACTGTCTTGTTTGGTCAAACCAGAGGTCTAAAGCAAAAAGAGCTGTACAAGAATATTGGATATTACCCTTCAGAGGAAGCTGTAATTAATGTATTTAGCCAAAGGTTCTCATTTGTTCTTGCCCTCTTCCCTTGGACAAGGGAAGTCAGAGAAGGGAGGAAAGCTTAGATTTGTATGTTCAATACCCACTGTAGGTATTGCTTTAGGATAAAAGCACCACTGTAGGTGCTTGCTTTAGGATAAAATTCCTTAAAAAAATGTAGAGTTTGTGGCCAGGCATGTAAAAACTTTTTTCTTCCATTTCAGAAAGCTTTTAGTTTGGGAAAATTTTGTTCTGAAAAAGCTGTCAAGTTTCATTAGTGCCTAGGAAAACTACAAATCTTTTTACAAAAAGAAAAATGGCATAGCCTTTATTCTGTTAATATATTTTCATATAACTGCTGCATGATGTAAAAAAGCTTTTTCCAAACAAAAGTACTTCTCTCCATGAATGTTTCCTGAACACTTCCATGTGTAAATGTAGCTGCTGTCACACAGGACATTGTGGTGGGCTACCTGCTGTGTTTTGTAATTCTAGTGGTGACAGCCCACAATAGCTTGAAGTTGACTGCCTTTACAACTCTAAGTCAAAACCCCCCTCTGAGCAGTCAAGGACCTAATGATTACAGCACTTAACTGGGACATGGATACTGAAGGTTTTACCTATGCTTGCTCTTACTTAAATTAAGCCCATGATCGTTGGCTGTTCTGTGTAAATATTGCCCTGCAGATATTCCTTTCTGGTAGGAATGATAATGTCTTGACAGTGGTATTTTGGCATGAAATAATGCCACACATCCCCTATACAATAATGCAAAAGTTAAATAAAAGCTTCTCTTAGTGTGGTGATGCCTACCTAATAAGTTTAGTAGACCTTGGAGCACAGAGAAGCAGCAGCATCCTGCTGTTAATGTTGTAAGTTGCCACCTTCACCTCATATTAAATAATGCTTACTCCTTCCCTTTTTATTCCTATAGCAGTGATTGACTGAGGAAGACTTTCTTTCTTCTCTCTCCTTTTAGGAGGTTTTGTGCCTTAGGATTCCCTGTATGTACACATTGCCAGCAGAGACACTTCAGTTCTATACTGAAAGGATGGCGAGTACTTAAAATAAAACAGGTTAAATGTCCTGGCTGAAGTGTAAAGGTGCAGTGAATAACTACTGCTCTTCATTTTGATGTCTTGGAGGTGAGCTACAGTTCCTGCTTTCAAATTAAGCCTATCTTTGTTTTACCTCCGTGATGCTGGAATAGACAAAATGTGGTTTTCATTCATGAGACTTGGCCCAAAGCATGTATCCTACAAACCATGTAAGACTGAGGGCTTCAAGTTAGAGAGCTGTGCACAAGACCCTTGCAAGTGGAGACCTACATGCTGAGTAGGAAATAGGACTGAAGAATAGTTAGGGTCAGTAGAAAACCAAAGTTTTTGATGGACTATAGATGCTATCACATTTTGGCTTCTGCAAGCACTGCTCAGGCTAATAAACAGCATTAGAATTAAATTATGAAGTTGTTCTGAGGAAGGACCATGTCAAACAATAGGCTACAGTCATTAACATTTGACACTTGTTTTTATATGAAATCAGATTTTCCTGTTTCCTTGACTGGAAATTGCTTTTTGACGGAGTGGGTGCAACTAATGCATTTTTCTGACAGTCACACCATCTTGTTCTGTTTCCTACGACCTGATTTTGCAGTGTTGGGTGGCCTCAGTTTTCCAGTAGGTATTCAGAAAGAAGGAATAAGGTCTTTCAGTAACTTGCATAAGCAGTCAGCTCAGCCTGGCCACCCTCCTCTGAACTTCCCCTTCTATCTCCCAGTCTTGCCTGTAGCTGCATTCTGTGAATTTGAGGCCCAGGATGGAATTAATCTTCCTCCTTTTTATTTAATCAATTTCATCAATTTGCATCATAAATGCATTAGCAGTTGTTTTGCCCTTGACCTGTGGGAGGTTTGGAATATGCACATTGTTACTCTGTTTGCTCTGTTTGTTTCCCAGCTTGGGCTGGAAATGGACTCAGAAGCAGTAATGTATCAACCTTGAATGGTGTTGCAACAATTAATTATAAATGCTCAGATGTAACTATATAATCTTCTGTGAAATAACTTTTTTTTATTTTTTAACAGCAAATTACAGGTGTACCAAGGAATTTATGCTCTGTTTTCCTCAATGCTTGGGCTAGGCTGACTTTAAAATGTTATCTGCTTTCTAATTGTGCTTGATATGCAGACTGATTTGGCAATACCCTTCGGACTGAATAGAACCTTATCCAATGTAATTGTTTTCTTTATTATATGGATGTATATTTTCTTTTTTCTACTGGCATTCTGATTTGAAAAACTTCCAGAAAATGACTGTTCAGTGCTGAGCACTCAAATCTGTTAAGTTCTCCACATATCCACTGGAATAACTATCACTCAAACTGTGTGTAGGTGTTGTAGAACCTGTTAGTGGAAGCAAGGCCTAAAATATTTGCCCTAAGTGGAGCAGGGTCAGTACAGGTCCTGTGTCTACGTGGCTTTTGCATTTGCAGGCCAAGCTAGTGCCCACAGTCTGTAAAGAGGATGTCAGGCACCTTTCTTACAGCAGATACCCTGGACACTTTTATCTATGGAAAGCTTTTCCTACCATTTCTAATATATAATCTTATGTGGGGATATGAAGAAACAGTTGTTGTGTAATAGAAAATAGGGTTCACTGGACTGCAAGAGGTGCTTGCCTTGGGCTTTAGAATCTGCATCTTGTGAAGAAAGCTGAAGTGACACTTAGTCTTTTTCAAGAACAAGAGTGCTTGGTTTCAAACCTAATATGGAGATTAGAAAGTACTTTATAAAGCTCTTTCATCTTTTTCTCTATCCCCCCAGTCTTAGACATGATAATTATATTTCCGTAAGAGATTTTGCTACTGTTCTGAGAAAATTCTTCCTCTTTTTTTTCCCCTTGCAAAATCTTTGCCCAAAATCTAGGCCAAGAGCCCAGCTGGACCACCACTTTTCATACAGGCTCAGATTTATCTGCTTTTTACCTCCTGTCAGCCGGTACTTTGTACTTTGATCATAAACATTACCAGGCAGAGATGGCCTGTGCTGAGACTGACACTGCCACAGTGTAGGCAGTTAAACTTGGGGTCACGCTGGGTTTGCAGCAGCTCGGTTGCCAGTTAGCAGAGCAAAAAAAAGCCTGGTAAGGCCTCACATGGTGGACCTGTGTGCCTGTAAATGGAAATTTGCTTGGACTGCCCGTAGGCAGTAGTGAGCTCTGGTTTTGTGGGAAGGGACTGGATTGCTTTCCACCCTCAGCTGAGTCTGCGGTGTCAATGCTGTTGTGAAAGCACCCCTCTGTACACTGTTACCAGAGCCTGCGGGGTTTGTTGTGTTTCATCATGCATGATACTTCTGATTACACCCCAAGGAGAGGGGAATGCTCTTGGCCTTCCTTGCAGTTTTTACGATGCCTGAGGTATCAATATTGTAGAGGAAAAAGAGAAATAAATCAGGCGTAAATATCTGAGAATATCTGATTGGTTGAGGTTACTAATAGCATAAGATGGTTCAGGGATGAATCGTTCCTTATTGGAGGATTTATGACTCCATTTCTAATTCACTTTTGACTAGAAAAGGCATTGAGTTTTTTTCCTTGCAGTTTGCTCACTGTCAGAGTGCAATAGTCAAGCTAAGAACATTCTTCTTTTCCCCTCTTTGGGTGCTGCTGTTTCCTATTAACTTGTGATTAATGCTCCCATTTTTGTGATTATCATTGAACTTTAGGTAGCCATTGCAAAGAGGAGTTTGCTACAAATGCCAGTGTAGGTGCAGCTGTAAGCACTTGGCTACTCTTGAAATTGTTTCCATTTTGTGTATCTCCACCATCTGTGCTATTAGCACTTGATTTCCTTTTACACGGTGCAGCTGTGGTCTCCAGTGTCTGCCTTGAATGTGTTCCCATGCAAGGAAGGTGAAGTGTGACACTGGGAGATAACAATGAAAATTTCAGTGTAATTCAGTTTAGTAAGAGATAACCAGTGCCGATTAGTCCCATGTAAAAGCTCATCAGCTCTTCAGTTCAGAGCACATAAACTTATGCTAAAAGTTAAGTATACCCAGAAGTCATTTTCTCTATGTTAAGCAAAAGCTCAGTGCTTTGCTGAAAATGACCCTGCATTTATTGTAGGGCAGATGGACTCATAAACATGTTTTTAAAGTTCTGAGGCAAGGGGGAATACTTTGATGTGGGAATCCCACCTCAACGGTGAAAACTGGAGATAAAATCACTTTCACATAAGGATATATTGATACTGACAGACTCAACAAAAGGGGAAACTGACCTAGACAAAAATGTCATCCATTTTCCTATGGTTCCCAAAAGACTGTTTACCTCTCTTTGGTTGTGCAAGGGCAAGTAGAGAGCTTGTTGGAGACTTTAACTGTGCCTGCTGTCAGTTTTAAGCCTAAGTTTCATAGGATTGATAGCAAGTGCTGCAGCAAAATCTTTGTTCTTCTGGAAGAAACAATGTAAGTAGTTACAACATGAAAAAGAATGCTTTCTTTCAGGTTGCTGTCTCCATTGTACCAAATCCCCTCTCTCTTTTCCAAAATACTGCCATAACAAGCTTTAGTCTCAGCTGCTTTTGTTAGAAAGTTGGCCAAATCAATGGAATTGGAAGAGAGGGGAAAAGAACTTGCAGGCACTGCAGCCTGCACCTTCACAGGCAGTGCTAAGCAGCTAGCAAAGGGAAGATAGGGCGGCTCATGAGGAAAACATAAGTACTCCTAAAGGAAGGGAAGTAATCCTCCAAAATAGCTCAGAAGGGTGTGGGCAGGGCAACTCCTTCCCCAGGTAAGTTAGCACCTTACAGCTGGTACTGCTCAAGCAGGTGACTGGTGTGCATATCAACATTAAGTAGAGCCAAGTCTCTTAAACTTCATACAAAGGTTGTGCAATGCAAACATGTTTCAGTATAGATTGTCGAAGCCACAGATTGACGTGACCCAGATTGACAAAACACCAGGAAATCTGAGGCAACATGTTACTAGGAGAGGAATTGCCTCTCTCGAACTTTTCTGTTTTCTTAAGCGCTAAAGGAAAGCTCGATGCAGGATGATAATTTACCAGATGGTCAGTGTCAGAAAGAAGCTTGCTGAATATAGGCAATATTGACACTTACTTAAGAAAATCTGGCAGTTCTCCCTCCTGAGGAGAGATGTTGAGAATTTCCAATAATACTGACCCAATTTTCCTTGGTATCTCTAGCACTGAAGGAGTCTAGAGATAGTGTAGCATTGTATCTCCTTTTGCTTCTGAGGTGTTGCTCCATTTTTCTGTGTGCCTCCTGCTCAGTGTGAATTAAAAGAATTTTTAGGTACCACTGAAAATACTGAACGGGATCATCAGAATATGGGATAGAAAAGATTTTCTTCGAGCCCAGAGTGGTGGATGTAGTTTTTGTAAGTGATACAACCTGGACAGAGGAAATAGCTCTCTGCTTTCTATACAGCAGAGGCACTAAGCACACATGCTGTGGTCAGCCAGTTCCTGGTCTTGATTTCAGTCACTCATCAAATGTTGGAAATCACTGCTAGACAAAGATGTTATATGGAGAAGTGTTACTTGTCTTGGAAAACACTGGAGCATTGAGGTTTATTGTCCAGTGTTAAGGATCTGATTTTCTGAATTATTAAATTGCTGTTACAAGTGGCAGGTTCTTATTCTACCCAAGTTAAAACTATGTCCTCAAGAGTGTTGTTATAATCTAAATCTGTATTTGCTTCTATTTTTATATGATTAATACTGATGTAGATGCTAGGAGTTAGTAATGCTAAATGGTGGGAGGTAGCTGTTTCCTAGCCTGAGTGAGTCCCATCTGTTTTCTTCTAGGTTAGTGTAAATTGTCTTTTTACTTAGTCACTTGGAAAAAGCCATGCTGTATTGCTTCTCTGCAGAAAGGTAGGAGGAGAGAATGAGATTTAGTTATGCATATATTTAGTGTTTAGTTATTTATCTTAATTATCATGCACTCCAAGTTGTGGGTTTGGGTTACTGCATCAGTTCTGAAGACCATATGAGCCATGGCAAGGCACAGGCACAGACCATAGCTTTTGGGAATTGCAAGCACACAATTCAGCTGCATACCCAGAAAATGATTTTTCATATTTAACTTGTAAAGTATTACAATTCAGAAGACCTTTTTTTTTTTTTTTTTTCTGTGAGTACTTTGAGAACATGACAAGACCTGAAATTGTGGTCAGGCCTTAAATCCTAATGAGATCTGGTGCATGTTTAAGAGGAAAACAAATTGGGAAGCCTTTGTCTTCAACTGAAATATTCTTTGAACTTCATAAATGTAGAAGCCTAAACATCATCTCAGGTAATAAGACCATCGCTGAAGGGCTGCAAGAAGAAACTACAAGATGTGTAACTGGCAGAGACTTTCCATGTGATCTCAATGAACCAAGTAGGTTTGGGATTTGCCAGTAAAACTGCCTGTGCAAGCAACCAGGTGGCCAGTGAAACAAAGGAAAGACAAGACTGCTTTCTATCCTTTTAGAGGACTTCTAAATATGAGGAGGATACATGCAAAACTAATCCTGGTAGCAATTGAATCAGAATCTTGGCCAAGAGTGTTTTATTCCTGTCGCTGGGCTGTGTCATACAAATTCCAGTATCTGGTCTTTAAAAGCCCTTGGAACTTGCTGGGGGAAAATTTCAATTGGAGCTGAACACAGCATGTTATATTTCGAGGCTTTGATTATTCTGGGTCTGACAGGCTCATAGAGACTTCATTGCCTCTGGGCAACATCTGCAGTGGAGCCTTGTAACAAAAGGATGGAGTGGCCTCACAGGGCTCCTTGATAGCCTGGATTGCATTAGAAGGAAGATGTGGTTACGTAGTCGGGGTAATTAATTAGCATTTCCATAAGCAGTCACAAGTCCTGTTAACCTTGTAAATGCAGGAGGCAGGAATGAAGTGCAGATGTGGAAGCTCTGAAGATAAACTCTGCATGTGTGTGTTCATTTCATTTTGTTGATGAGTTCCACTAAATTCCTTCAACATCAGCCTTAATTTAGCATGGCTAAAGATGCAAATGCACCCAACATCTGTTTGTGGCTTGTGGCATCTCTTTGGCCACCAGTTCTAAAGCAAGATCTTAATACAAAAACCCTACCACACTGAGGGGGTAAGCTGTTGGTCAGGAGTAAGATATGAGCTGACTCCAGGAAAGATACAAAGGCCTGTGGACTTTGCCTATTTCAAAGCAAATTTTAGGGTAGTGAAAGTCTGCACCTTGCATGCAGACCAGTTCTCTCAGATTTTCTGCCATGTCAAGTTTGTCCTTGCCTGGCTGACAATAGGTTTTCTCTTTTGGGGAGTCTATTTTCTGGTGAAGTTTTATTTCTGTTCTGCCCCACCTGCTCCTCATTTGTTTTTCCTTCCCCATTGGTTTTCTCAATATTTTGTCTTGTCATGGTGGGGAACTTGTTTTCCCTTGAAGCACCACTGGTTTTCCTCCTGACTTAAGACCAGTCCTCAGCAGAAACACACTGGCCAGCATGCCAGGTTGTAGCTATGTGTACCTCTCAAGAAGTTTGTATTTTTGTTCCTCTGGTTACTTTGTATGAAGTGCCAGGTGTGTGGTGTATTCAGAGTCAAGACTTCTAGCTTTTACTAAATTACAAGGTGTAAGAAGCCTCTGCTACAGGAAGATTACAGTAAAGAGTCGGTGACTGCTGTCCTGGGCTGAGAGATTGACTTCTTGTCTGATTACATCCCTTTGCTCAGCAGGTACAGCTATAGCTTCATCACAGAGATTAGAGGAAAAATCTTCTAACAGCTTAATTCAGAATAGTTGTGATGGTGATTCTAAACAAGGAAGTAGGAAATAAATGCCAGAAGAGGCTGTTCTTTATGGTGAATCTTGAGTTAGAAATATCTAACAGAAGAGGTAGGGCAGGATGTGGAAAGAAAAACTCAACCCCTTTTCTTTTGTTCCTGAATCATTTGGACAGGCTGTTCCTGTGGTTTAATTTTTTTATCCCACACAACACACGCACACGCACACTCTCCCATCCCTATCTCTAAAAGTGGGAGCCTTGGCTTGGTACAAAACCAGAACTCTTCTGTCTTTCTGTTGCCTCTGGCGCCACAGAAGTAATTGGTGGATGATATTAGGAGTCTTGTAACTTTCAAAGCCGTATATCTTTCCTCTTTTATAAGCTGGCAACAGATGAATTTTAGGACCTTTTAAAAAATTATTGAGAACTTTGGAGCCACTGGGGCTTTTACTTGTGTCTTTCAGTGATGATGTAAAAATAAATGTCATGTTAGTGCAGGGTGTAGAGGAAAATGGGAATTGGACCAATAATGCCAAAGGGGTAAGAAAAGCTCTCTTCCTCTGCTCAGGGCTTGGGCTGGGATTTTCTAATGGCATGTCTCCTGCTGCATCAGTCTTCTCTGCTTCTTGGAATAGGTTGCTTCTAGTTTAGTCCCATGCTCAGCTGGACTAAGTCTGTTTTGTGGGTTTGTTTTTTTTCCAAATCACACTTGGTGTGATCAGTGAGACACATCTCTGCAGCTTTGCCTTCCTCAGGGTTATCTTTGCTTTTATCTTTGAGCAGAGTGTATGTCCACAAGCACAAGCTTGGAAATGGAGAAATACTACTGCAGAGTGAGCTGTCTCTTCAGTCACTTTTCAAGGATTACATTTTAGGCCTAAACCAACCTCAGGTGTGGCAAACACATCCAGACCATGCTCTGTTACTGTGGAACAACTTTCACTCACAGTTAAACAGCAAATTGCTCTTTGAAATGAACCATTTAAAAATAGATCATGATGAGCTTCAACCTCTGCAGCCTATGCTGGTGCCACAACCCGTGCTGTCACTCTGTCTTTAACAGCAGACCCCGCTGCACTTCCTCTGCACCTTCCTGAAGCAGCAGTAACAGTCAGGGCCATGCCAGCCTCTGATTGCTCTGTGTAACTCTGACATCTGTCAGTGAGCTGTGTTTAGAAGAGCTTGGTCATCCCCTGTGTAGAGGAGATGTACCAGGTACACTTATCTGCTATGTAGGGGGTAATGTGTACACTTACTCGTCTCCTATGTAGAGATTGGGCCAGACTTCATTGACGTGAGTGTACTTTGGGCAGCCCTTCCACAAGAGCCTCTCCAGTTCAAATGCCCCTGGGGTACAATAGTCCTCATCAGGATCTACTTGGACTGCTGTATATGCATTTTTCTTCCCAGCATTCCAGCTTCCTGATGACATCTTGTCCATGAAGTAGTGCTCTCAGGATGTGTGAGAAACTGGAATGCAACCACAACAGAATGTTAACCCAAGGAAACACAAAGCAAGTGACTACTGCTCCTGCTGTGGGATCCTGGGAGCAGCACTGACCAGGTGTGATTGAGCATTGCTTGAGACAGATGTACCTGTTCTGTGGCAAACACAGACTTGCATTCAGATTTCTGCCTCCCCAGAGTGAGGTGAGGAATATCATGTTAGATGAGCTCACCAGCAAAGGAAACAAAACTCAAAGGTTTGTGATTATTGAAGTTAAGTTTCTGTTGAGAACTTGTTTCCTGAAAAATCCACTGGCAAGAATTTGGTAGGTCTAACCGTCTAGGGATCTAAAGCACCTAGGGGAACTGAGTGCAAATTTAAGTTGTTGGGGTTTTTCATCATTAACTAAGGCTCATCCTTCATGATTTTCAGCAGCATACGGAGAGGAAATGTGTCTGTCGAGGTGAATGTACTGTTGTACTCTCTTCTCTTACTTTTTCCCATGTTGCCAGCTGCAGATTCCCTGTTTGCTGCATCTCCCAATGGGCTCTGTTTTTATTTCTTCTACTGGACTCTTTGGTGTCTCAGAGTAGCTGTTGCTCATGTCTCATTCCCTTGAAGAGAGAAATTGAACCTTGTGGTTCTGTAAGAGACTGTTAACAAGATGTGGAATTGGGCTTGATCTTAAGAAGCATGGAAGTGTAGAGCCTGCCAAAAATCCACCTTTCTTGCAGGCAATGAATCCTCTAGTTGCTCCCAATTTTATTTTTTTTTTTTGTGTTGGCTGCTGAACATTTGTGTCCTTTTAATTCCAAAAACAAGGCTAATGCTTTCATGTGGCTATTGTAGAGCTCTCCTGAAAGCAGGATATCCATTTTTCACTGACATCCAATGTACCCATGAGGTTTGTTTTCTCAGTTTGGGCTCTTTTGTGCCTGTCATGTTCTGTTTCTCTACAAAGCTTGAAAAAGCCAAATGATTCCTGTTTTCCTACTCCAAAGCCGTGTAAGATTGTGGAGTCAGTTTTTGACTGGCAAGTGTACACCTTTGTTCAAAAATTGGCTTGCTTTCACTGGCAAGAGAATCTATCTTTCAGCCAAGCTTCTTAACACATGATGATGATGTTTAGCTAAGTGGTCCTCTCTTGAGATTTTTAAAGGGCTCTGAGAATTCCAGGTTGTTGGAAATTTACCTTGGGCTTGTCTTGCATGCCTATGTGTACTACCAAGTGCCATCTATCTGCCCCAGTAGCCATGCCTTGGGAGAGCCTCTTTCCTTCCTGTGCCAGAATTATGCTAATTCTACATGCAGACTCAGCAGTGTAGATAATGTTTGTCTGTCAGTGATACAAATCTAAGACAGACTTCAGGAGTGATAAGGCTGTTATCTAGAAATTGATAAGAACTGCTATTGGTCTAGTAAAGAATTATAACTGAGAGCCTGTTGCCTTGATGCTGAAGGACTGACTGCTTTTATTCATTGTTCCATAACATGGGATGGAGGAAAGGAAGAAGAGAAAGCAATGTAATCAGTAATCACAGTTGGTGGCCACAGTGCATTGATTTGTTACACCTCAGAACAGGGCAATTACATCTGCAAATGATCATTTGTGGTACTGGAACACCGGCACAGTTTGAAGCTTGGTTAACACTCTGAAAGCTCGACCACTGCTGAGAAATCTGTGTTTCTGTCTGTCCTGGGAAGCCACATGCTCCCTGAACTTTCAAGTACACTATGTTCTTTTATGCCTTGCCAATGCTATCTGCTGCAGGGATTTTTAAATTGAATTAGAGCACAGGAAAGCATCAGTTGAAATTCCTCTAATAAAACATGTATTTCAGATTTGACTCTAGACTATGTAAAAAGTAACAGAGTTTAACTAGGAGGAGGGAAAAGGGGGCAAAAGGGCTGGTTTGCTATTTCAACTCTGGAAATAATTGCCATGAAGCATTTAGCTGGGGGCAGAAGGGCTTGCATCTTCCCAGGAATCAAGGATGTCTAACCTCATCTCGTATTAGTTGTTCTACATACACCAAACAGAGTTCCAGGAAGACTATTCCCAAGGCCAGCCCTCTTGGAATAAAAAGTGAAAAATAGATTGGATTTTTTTTAGTGGTTCTTAATGCTGTTGTGGGTATAAGGGATGAATGTTTAGCACAAGTCCAGGCAGGGAAAGCTCAGATTTCTCTGGCAGACTTGTGTGGAGAAGAGACCATCTCCTGCAGAGTGCTCACCCAGTGCAGTCAGATGGCAGCCAGATTGCAGGGTTACCTCTGCACAGGCTTGTTGGAGCAGGCTTTCACCCCTTGTGGCGCTTCATGTGGGCTATAGATGAGTTAGTGCAGGCTGAATGGCGTACCAGTGCTGTGCTAGCTTGGCAGTCACTTCGTGGCACTGCACTGTGTCAGGGATACACAACCTTAGATCACGGAACAGCCTGAGTTGGAAGAGACCCACAAGAATAAGGGTAAGTGAATGGCCCCCATGGAGATTGTGAGCCTGGCATTATTACTACCTTGCTCTGACCAAAAGAGCTAATCCCAGGGTCATGTGGAAGCTCTCTGGTGTAGGGACTGTCCTTACATCCTTTGCATAAAGAACTCTGCACCCTGCCTGGTCCTGGAAATGCTGCTTCAGGACAGCCTTTTTATTTCATGTGGGAGGGAAGAAAAGTCAGCTGGCTGTGGAACTGCCCTTGTCCCAGAACCCCTTGTCCCAGAGGGTTCTCCCCAGCAGGAAGGTCTGAGCCCAGCTTCAGGACATACTGAGGAACAGAGCCCTGTATCTGGGGCCAGGAGTTCCCTCCCAGAGAAGCAGGGCAGTCTGTAGCTCATCCCATCCTTTCCCTGTGCCCAGAGCAGAGCTTTCCTCTCATTCTGCTGGCTTGTGCCAAGGGCAGGCTGTGTGAGCTGGTGAGACCTTCCTGTTCCCTCTCTGTGGCACCTGTGGTGGCTGGTCAGACCTGGGTGCAGGGCACAGCTGGGTGGGTGCTGAAGCCTGTGAGCTTGTGAGCCTGTGCCTGCTGAGCCTGGCATCCCGTGGGTTCTGCCCTCAATCCAGCGTGTGCACACAACGCTGAACACAACGCCGGCGCTCCCCAGTCCTGCTGTCATGGACTTAAGGGTATTATCAGAACAAGGATGATAAAAATCCAGTCATCTGCATTTTTATACCCTAATCTTTCTCTTCATAAATAAGACCAAAGTACATGTTATCTAATAAATTTTATTTGTTAATCGCTTGGATGGCTGGAATATTTGTCCCCCTTGGGTTATATGTATATAAATGAAAATATTGTTAGTGATTTCACAAAATGGTAATTCAGAATAATGGAGAGTTAATCCTCTTTTCATTAGTGAGCCACTTCAGGACATCCACTGTGGCAAATTACACTGCATTTTAAGTCATTCTCAAGTGCTGTGCACTAGAAAAAAAAAACATTAAACTAGTTTTGCATTGATAGAAGTAATTGTGTGGCTAATTTGGATAAGCAGCATGCATTAGGTACAGCAAAGGAATCATTCCTTATGTTCACTATCTACTCTACAGCTGCCAGATGGAATTTCTTATACAGCTCTTTAGCTTTTTTTATTATATTTTTAACAACGCAGGGAGGGAGGAAATAAAGTGCAAGGAAAAAGAAAAAAAAAAGAAAAATCTGCCAGTCTATTTGCTGTTTAATTCAGACCATAACAGAGCACACAGTCCAGTGGCTGGAGCACTAATATGGCAGTGAAAGATTTGCCTTCTGCACCATATTTGAAGTCCCTTGAACTACTCAAGTTAACCCAAAATTTCCAATAAGGCCCTGTGAAGTCATAGAATGTAGTGGCCCATTTTCAAATCTGTTCAATTGAAGGGATGTCCAGTTCCACAACAAAATTTGTAGGGGTGAGTTAATGCTTTTGGAAATGTCAGTCATGAGCTCTACAGTTTGGTAATCCCATAGATGGGGGAGGAAAACTGAACTTTTTATCTAGAAGTGAACATCAGAGCCTTGGTGGTGCTGTGTATATTTCTGATGCTGGTTTTCCATGTGTAGTGGAAGTTTCTGAGTACTTTGAGACAGAAAGCTGTAAGTCATTAGTTACATAACAAAATACTATGTTTCTTAATATTAATATTTTCTGCTCAACGTGCTGTGCAAGCCCTAGTGCTGTGTATAAAGATGCCAAACAATTTGGCAAGATCTATGCCTGGGAGTTAAGACCCAAGTCAGCTGTAGGGACTTAAAAAAATCAGGCATGCACAGCCAAGGAATGCATTTTTTGCCTTTGTCCTGTGCAAGGGCCTATATATCCTTTCCTTTTCTGCACCCCACCTTGTCACAGGGGTTTCCTCTATCACTGTTGTTGTCCCCACCATAGGTACTCTGGCTGCCAACTTGTATCTGTGTTTGTGTGCCTGAATCATCAGATCTTCAATAAAGTCAGAGCCCAGTGGCATTGGCACAAATATGCAATGAGAGAGGCTAAACAAGTAAAAACTGGGAAGAAAAATGGAGAGAAGACAATTTTCCTTACTCTTTCCTTTAGAAGTATTAGCTGTTCTATCATGCAGGGCACAGGGTTTCCTTGCTTTAATGCCCACTTCAGTCCATATTTATACAGAAGAATAGTTTAAATTCTTTGCCACTGATGTGTCCTGCTCTTGGAAGTTCTCCTAGCTCTTATGACATTGATCACTTGTGCTAGTGGTGCTTTTGATGGCTGGCTTTATAAAATTTAATTTGATGTGCACACGTGTACAGTGCTTGGTTTTGTTCTCAGAGTTGTCTAAAAGCAATTTCTCCTTGAAAATACCAGACAATCACAACAAATTCACCTGGTTTAGCTGAAAAGTGAAAGGTTTTAGCATTTAGCAAACACCTCAATATACAACTTGTTTGTAAATGTGGAGGCAGATTTTAATCTTATTCCTGTTTTGATGCTTTCAGATTTTGCTTCCTACCTGTTGTCAGCTCTGAAAAAGGAATGGAAATGTGATACAATCAGAAGTTTTTTTCCAAGGTGCTAAGGGAAGGAAAGAAAATTACTGATCAGCGCTGAGCTTTTCATAAGGATTCTACAAAAGTGATGACATATCTACTGGACTTTATACCCATCTCAGTGCAATAGGAGATAAAAACAGTGCCCTTGAAATTAATTGGTAGTTTGACCCTCAAAACTGGGGACTAAAGTAGTTAATCTACTGCCATGAACACTAAATCCAGCAGAAGAACAAAACAGAAGGAAAAAGACCCTGTAATTTTGATTGAGAAATAATTTCTGTGCATGAAGAGGTTCTTACTAACAAATTATTCCCTTTTCTTTTCTGATCTTGGGTACAGGGCAGACCTATTTGAATGTTTTTATTTATCAGGCAGAATTTAACATCATTGAAGTTGTTGGACTTGTACTCTTCTAGGAGTAAAAATTGAGACCTTGCCTTACAGACAACTGAAAAATTAATGGTTTTATTTTTATTTACTTTCTTCTTTCAGTTTAATAACCACCTTAGATAAGAACTCAGAGGAACAATGTTTGTAACAAGTGTGTATGAGAAGGAAGGACCCAACTGAAGGTAAGGATAGAGAATACCATTTCTACACTTCAAAAAATGTGCAGAAGACTTGAATCTAATTTAGTAAGTGGTCTTCAAGTAAGCACTTGTTTAGTGCTGAAGGCAGAAAAAAAAAATCAGATCTAATGGCTGAGAATCTATAGAAATAGTGAGGGAGGATCTACTCAGCAAGTTTTTGAATTTTTAAGAAATGTTCTGTTCTTCCATTTCCAGCCCACATGCCAGACGCATACCTCCCTTCAGGATGAAAAAGAGCTTGCCCTTTTTGAGTATGACTAAGCAGAAGGCTGTTTTATAAACTGAAAAGTTCTTGCAGAAGCCAATGCACATGTCTGGGGCACAGTGTTTGCACTTGGAAGGAGGGTAAACAGTGCTTTGGTTTCTAAGCTTTTTTTAACTCAAAGTTCATCAGTTGAGCTGAGAGCTGGTCAGCTTCAGTGACAAAGGCTTGCTCTGTCGGATGATTTAATGAAATGAATTGAGAATGGTGCTCCCTGATACGCCACCCCACACTGTTTCGCTCGGACTCAAAGGCTGGCAGCAGCCAGGAAGAGCTGTGTGCTTCCCCTGTAACCTCACACTTGTTGCACCCCAGGGCACTGCAATGAGCTGTGGTGCTACAAAGGCTCCTTGGGTGAGGTTATGTCCTGTTTTGTTTTGTTGGGGTTTTTTTTCCCTAACACTAGGCTAAAAAGGTTATTTTTCTTTACAAATACTTCTTGTGATGGAGAAGTCTTTCAAAAAGTATTTCTCTAATAGACCCCAAAAAGAATTCACCAAATTCCAAAACTGGATTTGCAGTATACTTAAGCAAAAAGTATAATCCTGTGTTCCTTATTCCTGTTAGAGTCTTCACCAAAATTCATTTACTTCAGTTCCTTTATTTTAGCCCTGCATTCTTATGCTTAAAGCATTCATGGACTATAAAATAGTTCATCTATTGCAGTCATCTTTAAACAGCTTAAAACCAGAATAATTGTAGCCTCTGTGCAATTATTTCCCAGAACCTCCTGCTGTGAATATTCAAAACTAACCACTTATTTCAATGAATTTCTAAGACACATATGACTTTTTAAAAACTTATTCTTGCCCTTATTCTTTATTGTTGACTGGACTGTTTAATTGAAAACAGATAAAGCTGAGATTTTGTTAAATATTATTAGAGTGTCCAAGGAAACTTAAAACACAGCATCATTGGAGAGATTTTTAATTCAATTGGAAAAGCTAGATTTGACTGGAGGGTGGAGCAATTATTGAAGAATAAGCAAAATATTCTGGGACAGATGTTAGTCTTTAAAAATTGCATTTTCATTCCCTAACTTTTACATTGAAATTATCTCCAAGATAATTACACTTTCGGCGCCTAATTTCCTAATTTCTAAAGTGATTTCTGTAACACAACAAGTTTGATTTTCTAAATTATACATTATACTTTCAAAACCTTTTTGAGTCTGTAATAATATTTTTTTTCTCTGCAACAAGCTAATGAAATAGATAGTTACCTCAGCAAATTTTCCAGTTCTCAGTCCTCTCCTTGCTTTACTAAATCAGGTTACAAAAAGAAGGAAAAAGGAGCAGAAGTACAGCAGGAAATATATATTGCGTAGCCTTACCTGTAAACTTAGGTGGGTGCTGTAAGTAAATGGGTCCTGTGAAGTGCAGCAGAACGACAAAAGAAACCTTACTAACTGTGCAAGTGGAGTCTATTTTTAGAAGAGGATTTGCTGACTCTGACCTTGAGTGCTACCCACTCCAAATGACGATCTTTATATCCTGCTGGCAAAACTATTCCCTGATGTGACCTGAAACACTAAACCTGGCAGTTTAGTTACCTAGTCTTGGTGTGACTAAGATAACTTGATGCCTGCATGTTGACTATAATAAAACAAATATCATCTTTGATGTTGTCCCCCTGTCAAAGCCGATGCTGTGTTTACTGCTGCATATGGGTGAGGAGTATTGCACCACTTTTTGCTGTCATGCTGTGCACAAGTGACTTGGCACTGGCACAACAATGGGCAATGGGACAGGTGGCACCCTGATATGGTCCTTTTCTCTTGCATGTGCTTCACCATAAAACCATCTTTCCCTACTTCTTGTTTTAGTTTTCTCCAGTGCCAACCCTTTCAGTACCCACCTAACTTATGAAATGCCTTTCTTTGCTGAGAGCAACAAGGTGCTTAGCACGGTTCAGTTCTGGTGACATGAGCACAGCTCGCCAATTAGAGGCAGAGGTACACCGTCCAGCCTTTGAAAAATTCTCTATGTCCTTAAAGAGCTCCATGACTTCCTGCTGAAGAAAGCTTAGAACTTTCTCTGGTAAGTCACAGCCAGGTTCTTCACAGATCAAAGCTGGGTCCCCTGGTGTCAGAGCCACACCTCTTCCACTCCAGTACTTTGTCTGCAGTGACCTTCATGGCCACAGAGCTGAAGGGTTTGGGGATCACACATGAACAGCTGGTACATGACATCCTCTGCCTGGGCAGAGGGTTTGTTCTGCAGCAAACCCTGTCTCAGAGCTGCAACTTGAACCACTGCATTAGGAAGAGATTTTGGTGCTGTTGGAACTAGGTTTGCGATGATCTAAGATCCAGCTGTCATGTGAGTATTGATATTTCTTAAGAGAAATTCTTCAGATCTTTGCCTTCTGCCTGAGAGTGGGAAAAAGAGGCAAAGAGACCAGTCAGGGCAAGTGTGTGATACAGGAAAGTAACCCTTTGGTCTCTGGACCTTTTTTCTTCTGTTGAGTTGACTATCCTGGGAATGATATCTCTGAGCAGACCTGCATGTGCTGCTTGCCTATCTTTCTGCCTCACAGTGCTCTCTACTGTCACACCAGTGCCTGCAAAAAGTAGTCAGCTATTGATAGAAATCTCGTGTGGAACTTTTTTCATTTCTTGCAAGAACAGAAACAGCCTTCTGTGACTGCAAATGCCTATGCCCTACCAAAGATCCAGGTTGCCTGACCATTTTTTTCATTTAACTCACAGACCTGACTCTGTGAGTTATTTTTAATGTTGCATTAAATCCTTTCTATCACCTTTGTCATCTCCTGTCTGTTTAAAATATAGAAGCTAATCCAAGAAGGACCAGGGCCAGACTTGGTCATGGCCTGTGGCTAATGCTGTAGTACAGATGTGAAGTAATAACAAACAGTTTCAGTTCAAGTTCTGGGCATTGGATCTGCTGCTGTTTCATGCTAACAGCATCGCTCTAGCCAAGATTCTGCATTACCGAGCAGCCAAGCTCCTCCCTGCCAATTATTCAGATAGTCACTCTTAAAATGAGAAAGAGCTTGGATGCTAGAAACCTGCTGTGCCTTCTAAGATAACTTGTAAGGTTGTGGTGCAAATTATTTCTATACTGATAATAGAGAAACTTTGTGGAAGAGGAGATACAGACCCCATATAACAAAAACTAGCGAAGTTGCTTTATCTTTATCCTTGCAGGTGACCCAGTATGGGTAACATGGTGATCCAGCAGACTGGCAGTGCTGGTGAGAGGAGGCTGCTCTGTGAGGTCTGTGTGTCCCAAGGATGGGCAGTGCTCTGTTGCTTGTCCCTGACCAAGGCTGTCTTTCTGATAGGTCAATAGCATTTTACAGCATTTTGTGGTATTGTTATTTTCAGATGGCAGGCATCTGAAAAATAAGTATTTTTCTGTCTGAATGGCTGTCAAAACAATACAAGCCCTGTTCCCTTCTCTCTGTAGTGTCCTGACAACATGTGCAGAAGGTCACTCACCTCCTGGAAAAGTCACAGAATGGGTAAAATTGGAAGAACTACATTCGGTCATCTGGTCCAGTCTCTCTGCTCAGGCAGGGTCATCCTAGAGCACATTGCACAGGATTGTGTCCAATTTTTGGGACTAGTTGTTTGTGTTTCCATTAGTTTTGTTTTTGTTAACTAAGAAATCCTAGCTGCTGAGATGTTTTGAGAGTGGCCAATGACTTGGAGTGCTTTGAGCCTGGACACATAGAAAACACAGCAGGAAGGCTCTTATTTTGGAAGAGGTAAGCACCTGCCTTCTGGAAAGTTGAATTGTTACCTCAGACTCCTAAAAACTGACATGTGCCATGTTATTGGTAATTTCTGAAAATCTTCACCAAACTAATGATAGTGCTTTGAACACACAGATTAACCCCCATTCCTGGAGCCTTGCCTGCATCCAGCCTGCTCATGTTCTGTGCACAGCTCGCTGCTGTTTGGGTCAGCTCCCAAGGGCAGCCACCCAGTGGCACCAGGTGCCACTGACAGTCTGTTGAACAAGAGTATGGAATGTAAAGTCCCATCCAGAGGGAAGAGTTGGGAAAAGGTGTGGGGGGGGAAGCTGCTTTTTTTTTTCTCTTTGGTAAAAAAAAAAAAAATCTTAGAAGGAATGAGCTTCTTCCACAAAGGAAAGGAAAAGGGAAAGAAATTGTAGATTTCTGGCCAGAGTACACTAGAGGTACAGTTGGAAAAATCTAACACACTAAGACTTGTAATTTTTATGTTAGTTTAAAAAAAAAAGCTTTGAGTAAAGTTTTGCTTTAGAAGACTTCCCTCCCCCATTCCAACCTGGTGAACTGGAAGATTTCCTCTTCACTACAAAATATGTTCTTATATGAAAAAGCTGGGTTTTTAACAATTTCATGGGAAGAATAAGTATATAATTATATAAGATTGTCCTAATGGACATTTGCAGCTGTAGTGAGATGCTAACAGCATGCAGAAACCATTATGTTTCCAGTTGTTTGGCAAAAGTTAAGAAATCTGATATATATATATATTTTAAAGTTAACTGTAAAGTAAATCCAGATGGTTCTGTCTCACACAGACAAGCAGTCTTCAAACTAGACATATAGTTGTAGCCTGGCTATAACTTGTTTTGATTACTGCAGAGAGAGAGAAATGCTTTAAATGACTACTCCCTCCTCACAAAATGCTGCATGCCCTTGATTCTTGCTGAAGTCAACTGGCGTTTATAAAGCCATACATAAAACTTGTCTGACAATACCTTGCATGCAGGAGTACCTTGCTGGGTGTTACTCATTTAATTTCTCTTTATACTGAAGTATTGCTTAATGGCCCCCATCAGGGTTGGAGCTCTGCTGAGACAGGCATTGCAGACCCATAAAACAAAAATGACAATTGCTGTCCTAAGTAACCTACTGTTTGAGCCTGGGTTTGTGCTTTCCTCTTCATCTCCCAGCTATGGATTGCCAGAAAATATTGGTTGTATGCTTATTTTTGATTGATGTATTCAGAGTTTTATTTGATTCTTTAATAAGCTCTGTCTGTTGTGTTCATTACTTCATTTCAGCCAGACGTCGGTTGTGATGCTGCTATCAGCAGGGGAATCAGAATTACATTGACTTGTGAGGCCATTCTGCAAATCAAATCAAAGAGGCAGCTTTGCTTCACAGAGTAAGGATTTCAGTGGCTGAATGTTTTAAGTTGACACATTAAGGAGCATTTCTAAAAGTCTGAAAATAGGAGGAACTTAAAGGTTCATCAGAAATTATCAACTTGTGGTATGTTACTTTTTTATGTTTTGTAGTTTTCTTTTTTTACTCAGTAAGCAAACGTTCTTGTAGATAAAGGTTTATGCTGTTTGTCGAAGTCATATAACCAGTAGACACACTGTTTTGTGAGCTTCTTAGGCAGTATTGTCAAGAGGGTAATTTAGATTTGACCTGATAGAAGTCAAATTTACTGACCGGTGTTTTTCTTGCTATGTCTGTAAAAGGGCTAATAACCCATAGTGGCTGTGTTTGTAAGAGACTATGTGAGACAGGGACAAAGCAACTTCCCTGGGGGTTACGAAGGAAGGACCCCAATCCTGAACAAGGTTCCCTGAGTTTGTGGGGTGAGGCTGGAACCAGGGCTCTGAAAGGCATTGTATTCACTGTTCTGCTTTTTCTCTCACTGTCAGCAGAAAAAATGTCCTTGGAGATTTGTGTTGAAATGGAGTATAGATACCAAGGTGTAGTAATGTGGAAAATAGGGATGAGGTCTTCCTTGTAATCCTCCCTTCCCAAAGAATGCTGGGAACGGGGACAGCCTGGGGCCCCAAACTGCTAACTCCCCAGTTGCTCAGTCAGTGCTAAGAGGAAGCCCTGCAAGGAGAGCACCTACCAGAGGAATCCTATGCAGAGAGAGTACCTAGTGAGTACCTCATTCTGTGCTGTGCATGGCATCCTGATGTGCTCCTCAGGCCCAAAAATGGGGCATCTGCAATTGGTCAGTGTTTAAACTGACCTCTAAAGAAAATAGCGTTGCCAAAAATCAAGCAGGTTTTGTCCTTAATTTACCGCAGTAACACACAGAGAATTGCACCTAATTCTCTTGACAAGAGAATTAGGAAACTGCCACAGTCTGTTTTTACTCTTGCGATTCATGGGGATAAGAAGCTCTTTTTCTTCTACTTCTCTGTATCGTTAAGAACATATTGCTGCAGAGGTTCCTGAAATGTGTGGTCCAACCTATTTCCTAACCATAGAGCACTTAAAAAAATAAACAAAAATAATAGATACTTGGTATTTAACTCTGATCAGAAAAATTGTCTAGACATGCTGAGAGCAGGTTTCAGGTCAAGAGTAATCTCATGGTATATGCAGTGCCAAATCTAGATTTAAATATAACTGGGAGACAGAAATTGGATTGATGTTTGCAGTCCACTTGGTACAGGCTTCTGGCTTACTGGCAGGGCAAATGGGGAAACACCAGAGTTGCTGTGCTGGTGCCATTGGTCTGGTGTCTGTTCCACTGACTGTGGTCAGTAACAAACCCCTTAAAGGAAACTGCATCAACTCTGTGCTCCCCACTTATGGGATAAAT